ACTCTCTGACAAACATTAGTGAACTCTGTGGACTTTTTAGAATCTTTTTAGGATTTTTAAAGAAGCTCTAAGAATCTTTTGACCAAAATGGGAACTTTCCTGTGGTTATTTAATTGATTTAACTACCTACGTTCCTAATTTTTCAAAGGACACGAACTTTTTTTAACCAACAACCGAAGATTTTTAAGAATATTCGTTAAAAGGCCTTCTGACCGACATACGAGGATTTTTAAGGACACTTTTTTCAAGTGCTTTTTTTTTCGTCTGATCAGAAATCGTGGATTTTATGAGAATTCTTATTCAAGGACCTTCTTATCGACATTCGAGGATTTTTAAGGTTACTTTTTCGTGGGGCTTCTGACCAAAAATCCTGGTTCGTGAAACGTGAACTTTTAAAGCAATTTTCTCAGAGACCTGTTTACCATCCGTCGTATAATACTTCAACGGTCGTCGACCTCAAAAGTTAGATTAAAAAAAAAAGGAAAAAGGATTTAAGGACTTTCTGACCAACTTTTGTGAATATTTTGATGCATTTTTTAAAGAAGACCTTTCTGACCAAAAACTGTGATTTTTAAGTGAGTTTTGTTCAAGGACCTTAAGACCGACATTAGTGGATTTTTGTAAGAATTCTTGTTCAAGGACATAAAGAGCGAAAATCGTGGATTTTTTAAAACGAATTTTAAAAGGTCTTTGGTATACTCCCGGTTTTTTTTTTTTAAAAAATTTACTCAAGTATCTTCTCGACGGTTTTTTTTAAATTATTTGTAGGACTCTCTGACAAACATTAGTGAATTATTTTTTTTAAATTGATTTTTTTCAAACAAATGTGACCTAAAAAATTTTCTGATCAACAATCGTCACTTTTTTTTGGGAACTTTTTCGAAGGGTTCTTAATACGCAACAGTCTGAGTGGATTTGTAAAACAAATTTTGAAGAGTCTAATGGCCAACACTCCTGAATTTTTTAGGGCAATTTTTTCAAAGACCTTCTGACCAACAATTGTGCTTTTTAAGCGTTCTTTTCAATAACTTTCTGAGCACCAATTGTGGGGTTTTTAATTTAACTTTTTCATGGGTTTTCTGACCAAAAATCGTGAAGCCATTTGGGGGAAGCGGCACAAATCACCAAACCACATCAAGACGGCTGTTTTATAGGCCTTCTATACCGGCAAAAGGACACTCCAAATGTTTTTCCAACCTTTCCTCTGTATTTTTAATAGCTGTAAGACCTTTGAAAATTATTCACACCAAAGGGGGACTTTTCTAGCCTCACCTTTACATGAGCAACCGTCTATGCCTGCAGCCTTTCTGCATGCTATTTATTATGGCATATTAATTTCTCAATTTATTCGCATTATTTTTTCTAATAAAACTTATATCATTCTTACCTCATGGAAAGCTTTCACCCTCTATCATCATCGTCATCATCAACGAACATAGACGTCAGCAAACTGCATCATCAACTCATAGATTTAAAAAAGTATTCCAAAACAAGAATAGAAAATAAAAAAAATATGAAATAGAAATTGAAACTCAAGATTCAATTCAAATCAATGCTAATACAAGTGAATCATATGGAGAGCGAAAGAGAAAAAAAGTGAACTTAATTAAAAATAATTATTATTTATAAGGTAATAAACAAACAAATGGGCAATTAAAGTGGGAATAACAAATAAATAGAAGAAGGAAAAGAAAATTATACAGGGTGAAACAAAAACAAAAAATATGGTGGAGGAAGATAAAAACTTAAACTATATAAATTGGAAATAATACAAAAATAAAAAAAATTCAAAATTATCTTTTTTTTAATTTTTTTTTTAATCTCCTTTACAGATTGAGATGAAAAAGAAACTGCAACCAACTTCAGACTGCAGTCATTTCTAAGCCACTCGTCCGCCAGCTGTTAAAATTATTCCAGTGACAGCTCATTATATTGTTTACAAGGGAACAAAAGCATTTTGCTGAGAATTTTCCAAAAAAAGTTATTCGTGATGGAATTCCAGCGTGATAGTGTGATTTCCTTATATTTGGCTGGAGAAAACCACAACTGGCTATCGTTAGAGCATTCCAGCATTTAAATGTGAATAAATCTTTTGTGTCTCGTACCATCGGTAGTTACCGTGATACTGGGATCGTAGCCAGTAGCGACGCCAAGGAAGTGGACGGAAGAAAACAGTAACATCAGCAGAAATATTTCGAAAAGTAAAGAAGCGACTTGATCGAAATTCGTGTCTCAGTGGCCGAAAAATGTCTCGTGAGCTGAACATATCGCAATATTCCATACGGAAAATATTGAAAAATTAGCTCGGGGTAAAGCCATTGAAATTTCAAAAAGTACAAGAACTTACAACGCAACAGAAAGAAAATAGACTAAAAAGAGCTAAAAAGTTGCTTCGCTTCGGCCGAAAGTGGTGAACTGCCGAATTTGGAATTTGGTTTTCCCAATAAGAAAACATTCGTTGTCAAGCAGCACCACCAGTGAACAAACAAAATTATCGGTTTTACTTGCCAAAGAGGTCAGCTGAAAATGTGTACCTTCGGTTGGCCAGAACCAGAACTCAAGCGCCGGCCATGGTGATGGTGTGGGACGCCATAATAGTCGCTCTTCGCTCATATTAGTCGACCGTCAGAATAAATGCCGAATATTATCGCGAAAATATTTTGGAGGGTGTACGAAAGCCTTGGACACGCAAACATTTTGGTCGCAGACCTTGGACATTCCAACAGCACTCCATCATCACTACCATCGCACTCAGCACGCGCCACCCAAGAATGGTTACAAAATGAGGTTTCTCGCCTCATTTCCAGCGCACAATGGCCACCAAAATCTTCGGATACCAATCCGTTGGACTATTATGTCTGGATGGTGTGGGCCGCCATAACATATAACTGCCTATGGTGGCTCTCCGCTCGTATTAATCGACCGTGGCTTCAGAATAAATGCCGAATATTATTACGGAAATATTCTGGTGGAAATGGGAGAAAATACCGCAGAGCAACATTCGGGCAACGTGTGACGGTTTCATTGGCCGTTTGAAGGCCATAATTAGTGTCAAAGGTGACCAATTCGAACAAATCTAAACTTATTCTAAAATTTGATGCTATTTCCGAAATTTTTTGCTTTCATTCAAGAAAATTTGAAAAAAAAAAAAATTATGGCGTTTGACTTTGTTGCAGTTTTTTTTTTTTATCGCACCCTGAATATATGAATGTTTATTTATTTATTATAAATTAGAGAACATAAAAAATAAAAACAAGTTAAATAGTAGTAAGTTCGCCCGGGCCGAAAGAATTTGAAAAATTTCAAAAAATAAAATCCCTTAAAAATTCTGTGAAATTTTTAAAACTACCGAATATAGCCGTTATATTGGTGTCTATACGACGTGGACCTATATAGGCATTGTTTGCCATAGGCCATTACCATATTCAATTTCGAAACTTGAAATAAACGGTGAATAGTGTAGCTAAAATCATCAAAATATCGTATATAGGGAGGTGCCATTATATCGGAGCTGTGCAAAGACCTGCACCAGCATAGACAATTTTCTTTCACAGGCTGTAGCATCCATTACAAACTTCAAATACGACATCTCAAACAATTTTGGAGGGTTTTGTACCTAAACTATTCAAAATACCGAATATAGAGAGGTACAGATGTATGGGGGCTATACGAAGACGTGGACCTGCACAGACAATTTTCTGTCTTAGGCTGTAGTATCCATTTCGAACTTCAAATACCAAATTTGAAACAATTTCGGTGAATAATGTCGCTAAAATAATCAAAATACTGAATATCGGGAGGGGCCGTTATATGGGGGCTATATGAAGACGTGGTCCTGCACAGATAATTTTCTGTCTTAGGCTGTAGTATCCTCTACGAACTTCAAATACCAAATTTGAAACAATTCCGGTGAATAATGTCGCTAAAATCATTAAAATACCGAATATCAGGAGGTACCGTTATATGGGGTATATATGAAAATGTGGACCTACACGGCCCATTTCCGAACTTAACCTGCCTACTGAAAAAATAAATATGTGTACAAAATTTTAGCCTTCTATCTCAATTTGTTCGAGAGATAGCGTGATTGCAACAGACAGACGGACAAACAGACGGACAGGCAAGCATCTAAATCGACTTTGAATTTTTCGCTGATCAAGAATATTCTTTGTTGGGTCTGGCATGAGTACTTCGAGGAATTACAAACGGAATGACAAAGTTAATATACCCTCCATAGTATGGTGGAGGGTATAAAAAAAGTTTCTATTCCAGATCATTCTTTGTTTTTTTTTTCAAAATTTGTATATTGACTTTTGAACCACCCTGTTTTTTTTCTTTGTTTTTTTTTTTTATTAAGTATATATTGACGATGAATATGTAATAAATTGGAAAAGATTAACAACAATTTAAATCTTCTTAAATTGTTTTAAATTTGTAGATTCACTTTTGTGCCACCCTGTATATCTGCAAAATTATCTATTAAAATGAATATGTAATAAATTGAACAAAAAGTAAAATTATAAAATATTTATTCAAGTAAATTATTTAAAAAAAAATATTTAAGTAATTCTTTAAGATTTGTGCATTAATTTTGATGCCACCCTGTATATTTGTAAAAAATCATCTATTAAAATTATATGAAAAAAGGAATACTATGAGATAAAGAAATATCTCTTAATTTAGACTTATGTGGGTGTATGAATATTTACAAAATAAAATATAGGATCATGTTCTGGGGGAGGGGCAAGAAGGGTCTGGACAATTTTTTAAATCTACAATCGAAAACGTTTATAACGAACTTCGCTGGGAAAATAATTTTGGATTATTTATATACAAATTTTATAACATTTTGGGGTGTGAAAAATAAATAAATTTTTATAAATCGTAGTTTCCTATAACCGTAAGTTCGTTATAAGCGTTTTCCATCGGAAATTTTGACTTAAAATTTGAAATATATAATTTTTTTTTAAATATTTTTAAATATCTTAATTAGAAATGCTTACATCTACAACGTTGGGTAGTTATGTATGTATGCGTATGTGTTGGTGTCTGCCTTATAAGCAATTTTATTGTATTTTGTATTTTAAAATATTTATATTTAATTAATTATTTATTTTTATTATTTCTATGTATATATATGTATTTATGTACCTATGTATGTATATAAATAGCAGTCATATGATTTGTTTTTTCTTTTTATAAAATAAATTTAAAAATTAAATAAAAAAATTATTAAAAACAACATTTAAAAATTTTCACATCTTCATATCCATCTCTTACAGAGATCCTTTCCAAGGTTCATCAGCCACATAGACATTGTTGTTGTTGCTGCTGCTGGTATGGGTATTTCAATCTTCATGCTGCACCTCTGTCGGCTGCTGTTCCAATTTGATTTTCATCAAATTGTACTCACGTTGGGCGGGAAATTGTGCACTGGCCGATGAGGCCTCAGCATTGGCTATCAGCTCACTCATATCGGGTCCGGGGAAAAAATCCTCAAAACGCGGACTTTTATTTGCGGCCGTTGAGGAGGCTGCCGCCGCCGCTGCTGCAGCTGCTGCTGCTGAGGATTTTTGCAGCAAACCATTGGCAATGGCCTCAAAATCAATACCGGGTGGTAAATTTTCCAGGAAGCGTTTGTTATAGGCATAGTTTACAGCCATTTGGTCCTTGTTATTTTTCATATGCTGATGGGTATAAGGTGAGATGCTGCCACCGGATTTCTGCATATCGGCTGCGGATGAAGCACCCGAGGCAGAGCCTCGTGATTGATTGCAATACTGGCGGGCCTGCATGGCCTCCTTTAATTCTCGTTCACGCTCACGTTCTCTTTCCCTCTCCCGTTCCCGCTCCCTCTCTCGTTCACGATGCTCCCTTTCTCTTTCACGATTACGCTCCCGTTCCCGCTCCCTTTCCAAATCACGGCTAAAGGCCGCAGCTGCCGCATTCGAATGCATATGATTGGAGCGGCCACTGGAACCTGAACCCGTTCCCCCAGCTGTGGGTATGACATTCATGCCGGGCAGACCCATCAAACCTAAAGCACTTAAATCGGGTAAATTCTCAGAACCACGTCGATCTCCAGCAACACCTGCCGCACTGCCAGCAACTCCAGCCCCACTGGCTGAGTGTTGCTTACCAGCCGCCATCATGGGATCTTCAATCTCGGATCGCTGTACATAGGCTGGAGCTTTGTAGATATTCATAGCTGGATTAATGGGTGATTGTTGTTGTTGTGACAATATTTGGCGTCGCAAATTCTCCGTCATCGATGACAGCGGACTCGGCGAGTCTTGATGGCCACCCATTGCAGCGGCAGATTGTGCTGCCAATTTGGCAGCACTGTGATAGCCATTGGCAGCCGAGGCAGCTGATCCTGCACCTGGAGAGGCACCGAACAAGGCGGCCTAGAGAGATACGAATAGTATGGAAAAAGAAGGGGGAAAAACAGAGATGGGAGGGAAGAAATAAATTAGAAATTTGATTTCGAACAACATTGGAAAAATGTGAGAGACAAAGAGGGCCGAGGTATATCAAACCAAATTATTTTGAAATCAGGGTCTGCAGAATTTGAACTGAAACCTATTGAAATGATCTTCAAACGACACCAGACAACTGAAGGCCTTTGAAAAATCTCTGTTCTAAGAAGCTCGTTTTAACAAGGTCATTTCAAGGATATTCGGGATCCTTGAATTTTGTTCTGCCTCCAGAAGTTCATTTAAAGGGTCTTCTGCCTTTGAAGCCTTTAAATAGTGTTTTTTTTTCCATAGAAGACACTTTGGAGGATGTTCCACCGAAAGAAAACCCCTTTGGGGAGAGATACAAGGACATTTGATGGGTCTCTTGCCTATCGTAGGTCCTTTAATCTATCTATATCCTTTAAAGGATTTTCTGAGTTTAAAATGACCTTTGAAGGTTCTTCTCTTTATATCACGACTTTTAAGGGATAATCTATCTAACGACGGCTTTTTAAGGGGTTTAAGAAAAGGAGACCTCCTTGAAGGGTATTTTGTCTAAAAGAGGGATTTTGAAGGATGCTCTTGATATAGAAGGACATTTGAAGGGTATCTTGTCCATCGAAGGCCCATTGATGTGTTTATGTCCAAAGAGGCATTTTGAAGGATTTTCTGAGTATAAAAGGACCTTTTCTATTCAATTTATAGCAGCACTTTTGAAGAATATTCTGTCTAAAGAAGGGTTTTTAAAGAATATTTTGTCTATAGAAGATTTTGGCTATAGATTGACGCTCTGAAGGCTGGAGGTCCTTTAAGGGAAGGGTCTTTGGCCAAAGAATGTCCTTTCAAATGACCTTCGATTCCATTCCGTTGGCCTCCTCATAAAAGAAGACCATTTGTAAAATCTACTATCAACAGAAAACCAGTTGTAAATCTCCTACCCATATACCTCCTGAAGGTTCATATTTCTTTATAAGGACTACAAGATCCATAATTGTCGATTCTTTTCGAAAAAAGGGGCTCTATTTGCAATTTTTGAGAACCATCTGGATTTTTAGAAAGGTATGTAATACCACTAATCTTGGATTTTAAAAGGACCCTCAAATTGAATTTTTTCGAGGACATCCTGTTCCCTAACTGTGGACTGTCTGGCTGTTGATCCCGGATTTTTCGGAAATAGCATCTGCCCTTTCATCCAGTATTCTTTAAATGTAACTTCTGTACCTTAATCCTCGATTTTTAGAAGGACATCCTGTCTTCTAATTGCGAAGTTATCGGAAGGACCTTCTGCACTCTCATTGTAGATTCTTAAAAAGGCTCTTGTGTACTCCAATCGTGGATTTTTTTGTAAGGACGATGTAGCCTCAAATTTCATAGGATATCATAGTCCCCAAACCTTGAATTTTTTTGGAAGGACCTTCTATTTCCTAATCGGTTTTTAAAAGAACTTTCTGTCTCATAATTGTGAATTCATCGGAAAGACCTTCGACACTCTCATTGTGGATTCTTATAAAGGCTCTTGTGTACCCCAATCGTGGATTTTTTCTTAGGACGATGTAGCTTCAAATTAAGGATTTCATAGAACGTCCTTCAGTCTCCTAACCTTGAATTTTTTGAAAGGACCTTCAGCACCCTCATTGTGGATTCTTAAAAAGGCTCTTGTGTACTCCAATTGTAGATTTTTTGTGAGGACGATGTAGCTTCTAATCATGGATTTCAGAGAAGGTTCTTAAGTCGCCTAACATTTGGAACGATCTTCAATCTCATTAACGATTTTTAGAAGAACTTTCCCATAATTGTGAATTTACCGGAAGGATCTTCAGCACCCTCATTGTGGATTCTTAAGAAGGCTCTTGTGTACTCCAATCGTTGATTTTTTGTAATCAAGGATTTCATAGAACATCATTTTTAGAAGTCAACTTTTTTAGAAGGACCTTCTATCTCCTGATCGAAGGACCCTTTGTCCTCTCGAAGGACCATCCGTTCCCGAATCGATGATTTTTTAGAAGGTTTTTTGCACTTTATTGTAGTTCTCTACTCATTATGTAATTGTTGATAGGACGATTGGGAATTTTTGTGAAGGATATTCCATCCCCTTATCTTGGACTTTCTTCGGGACCTTCTGTAACCTCATCGCAGACTTTTTTAATGTATTAACCACTTTTATTCGTGGATTTTTAGGAGCGACCTATTGTCTCCTGATCATTGATTTATTGAAGGACCTTTTGTGGAAGGACATTATGTACCCTAAATATGGATTTGTTCAAAGGAACTTATTTTTCAAATCGCGATTTTTTACGAGTACCTCCTTCATCACAGTTGTGGATTTTTTGGAAGGACCCTTTACTTCCGAATCGATGATTTTGTTAAGAAGTATCTTCTGCCGCTTATTGTGAATTTCTTTAGAAGGTCCTTTAGTCCTCTGCTGAAGGATCTTTTTTCTAAAATTTTTAGATCTTTTAGGAGGACATTTGGTCCCCTAGTATTGGATTTTTAGAAGGACATTTTGTACCCAAATAGTTTAGACTTTATAGAGACTTTTTATCCAAAAAAGGCGATTTTTAAGAAGGAATTTGTGAAAAAGAGTATATAGTCTATAATTTTTGATTATTTTTTATAGAAGGACCTTCTGTCCTTTAAACGCAGATTTTTTAAGAAGGACCTTCTGTCTCCTAATTTCGGAATTTGTGAAAAAGAGTATATATGCTATAATTTTTGATATTTTTTTTATGGAAGGACCTTCTGTCCTTTAAACGCAGATTTTTCAAAGAACTTTTTAAGAAATATATGATCTCCAAACGTAGGTTTTTGACTTCTAATCGTGGATTATAAGGGAGGATCACATGGCCCCTAATAGCAAGAAAAAAGAAAAGCTGTCAGATCATTAATCTTTGTCTTCCAAAAATAGATTTTATAAAGGACTCCTTTTTAGCTCCAATTATTGATTTTTTGGAAGGACTTTGGGTTCTTTAAACGTTGATAATGGATTTTGAAGAAGGACTGTGGCGGCCGGAAAGTACTCAATAATAATTTACTTTAAAAATATTATTTTTATGTGATCAAGTCATCTTTGATTTTGTATTTTTCTTTTTTCGTCAAGTTAGCCTTGACTTTCAGTTTTTGTATTTGGTGACAAAAAAATAATTTTTACTTTTTCTAGGAAGTTCTATTTTGTCTTTTGGAAATTAAACATTAAACTAAAAAAAAATTAAATTGTTGTGGTTTTATTCATACCAACGCCCAACAGGACAATTCGGCTTCTAAATTTTAGAAAACGGCCATTTGGTCTCTATTAGTGGGTTTTTAAGAAGAAAAAATATCAGATCTCCAATCATGAATTTTGAAGAAGTTCGATTTAACTTCTAATTTTTGTAAGCATTTTCAGAATCTAGCCTAATATTTTCAGAACGAACTATTTGGCTTCTAATTGTGAATTTTCAAAAAAGATTACCAGGCCTCTAATCATAGCTCTTTTAAAAGAAGCACTTACATGGACTTATGAGGAGGACCACCAGGCCTCCAATCACAACTTTTCAAAAATGGACTAAAGTTATGATTCTGAAATTTAGAAAGGACGATTTGAATTTAATCCAGGACACTTCAGGGATATTTTGACTTTTTTGACCTTCAATCTTGGATAAAGGACTCTTTAACTTCAAATATTGGAGTTTTAAGAAATATATTTCCCCAAATCGAAGATTTAAACTATATTCAACCTAAAAGAATTATGACCCTGCTATGTTACAGTTAAAACATTTAATGTCTTCATATACCTCCACCTTTCTCTCACATCAGCTAAAAAAAAAAATCTTAAACTTTAAGAAATACCTACCGCATGAGCCTGTCCGTTGGCAAACGGCAAACCACCCATCTCCTCTTTGATTTCACGATAATCACGAAATACCACAGCTTTGATAACGGAACGTATCAACTCCTCCGGCCACATGCCCAACAGTATACGCTGCGGGCGGCCACGGGCCTTCGGTCGGGGATCGGTGCCACCGTCCAGCGAGGGGCCCAACATATTGTGGACACGATTGGCGTACAGGACAAACGTTGGATATGGTATATCGTATTTCCGGGCAGCCTGTGACAGCGATAAACCCTCCTTCAGTACACTGAATATGGCTTCGGCCATGGCCTCCGGACGCCAAGATTTTAATGGGCCGCGCTCACGAAATCTCAATTGTTGCACCAGGTTCTGCTGATTAGTATTCCAACATTTTTGCCACATGGATTGCAATTGATATTGATAGCTATCTGCTAAGGCCGGAATGGAAGGCAAAAAAAATGTAAAGGGAGAAAAGGAAATGGAAACATTTTGTTACCATACATATTGTGGGGAGAATAAGCAAAAACAGCCAAATGACTATCTTTCTGTTAAAACAAATGATTACAATAATCCATTTGCATGCAAATCCTTTGTCCTTTCCTTCCTTCTTTTTTTTTTTTTTTTTTTGGTTGGACAAATAATAAAATGTGCAAACACCAAGAAAACTAGCCTACTTACCAGTTACCGAAGACGTTGTGGCCCCAGCCATCCAAGGATGTCCGCTTTCAATCATTTTTGCCTGCAAAAAAAAGGACAAAAGAGAATTGTCATTAATATAAAATGTACATATTTTAAGTTAAGGATTTATTCTCTCTCCCTCTCTCTCTCTCTCTCTGTTTCTCTTAAGGCTAATAATAATAAATTTGATGAAAATAGAGTAAAAGTATTCTTAAGGATATGGGGCCATTTAGGTTTAGAAATTATGACACCCTCACAAAATGAAGTCATTTGCAAATTCATTGCAAAACAAATACTAACAAATGCAAGGATAATTGTTTTGAGGTGCAAATAACAATGAGCAACTACAAGCAAGAAGTCAGAGATTTGAAAGGCTTTCTGAGTTGCATTTATGGTATCGAAGTATATTTTCTAAAAATATCAGCAGAGCTAAATGCGGAAAGGTCCTTAAAAATAGTATTTAGTACCTATAGTCGTCAAGGACTATTAGCCTTTTAATAGCATATTTTTAAAGAGGACTTTCAGGCTCATAATTTTGGTTTTTTCAGGAGGACTTTTCGACCTCTAATCATAGATTTTTAAAAAAACACTACTTGACTTGCATATTTTAAGAAGTAATATCTGACCTCTAATCGTGAATTTTTACCAAGAACTATCTGATCTCTAATCTCGGATGTCAAAAATAATCTAACCCTCTATCGTCTATTTCAATGAGGACAAAATCTCAGCGTGAATTTTGTATAAGGATTATCTGACCTTCAACGAGGATTTTATTATCTGACCTCCATTCATGGATTTAAGACGGGTTTGTAATAAAAGCCATCCAGCTTCTAGAGGTGGATTTTTTTAGCCGACCTAGACAGTACTTTTTTAAAGAGGACTTTCAGACTCATAGTTTTGGTTTTTTTCAGGATGACTTTTCGACCCCTAATCATGGATTTTTAACAAGGACTACTTGACCTTCAACTTGAATATTTTAAGGAGTAATATCTGGCCTCTAGACGTGAATTTTGGCCAAGAACTATTTGATCTCTAATCTCGGATGTCAAAAACAATCTGACCCTCAATCGTCTATTTTATTGAGGACTATAACAAATCTCAGCGTGAATTTTGTATAAGGACTATCTGACCTTCAACGAGGATTTTATTATCTGACCGCCATTCGTGGATTTTTTAAGACGGGATATTTGAATATGAATATAGGGGTGTAATAAAAACCATCCAGCTTCTAAACGTGGATTTTTTAACAAGGACTATATGACCTTTGAACGTCGACCTGGACAGTAATTTTTGACTAGGTACTACGGATTCTTAATATGGACTAACTGACCTCTAATTGTGATTTTTTAAGAAGGACTTTAGGACCTTTTGTCGCTATTTTTTAACAAAAACTATTTACTCCTTATTACGAATTTTAAACAAGGACCTCTGATCGTGCATTTTGCAGAATGACTATTTGACCCTTAATCGTGGATTTTTCAGAATGACAATTGGATTTCTAATCGCAGATATTTAAGAAGGAATATCTGACCTGCGGATACGAAAGTTAAAACAAGGAATAGCTGATCTATAATCGAATCGAATTGTGAATTTTTAAAAAAAAACGATTATGGTTTTAAGAGGACTTGCTGATCCCTAGATATTTTGCAACCAGTCTGAAGCTTTAAAACAGGATTTTCCGCAGGACTAATTATCTTCAATTGTATTTTCCAAGGAATGTCTAGTACAATAATCGGGACGTCTGATCTTTTTCTTTTGTTTTTTAGGGCTATCCCAAATGCTGATGAATATTTGTTAGTTGTCTGAATCTGTCATCCTATATTTCAAGGTTACCTTCCCGAAGCTTTGCTCCAACATTATTAAAGGGTGCTGATTACCTCATTTGTGGTCTTTTGATGAATATCAGGAAATGCGATCATATTTTCAAATGGAGAAAATGGTCATAGAAGTCGTCTGAAAGATGTTCTGGTATAGAAGTCCTCTAAAAGGCCTTCTGGTCATAGAAGTCCTCTAAAAGACCCTCTGGTCATAAAAAAAATGTCTACCAGTCCTCTAATGGATCTTCTGGTCATAAAATACCTCTAAAAGTTATCTGGTCATAGAAGACCTCTTAACGTCCTTCTGGTCATAGAAGGCCTCCAAAAGTTGTCATAGAAGACCTCTAACTTCTTCTGGCCATGGAAGAACTCTAAAAGATCTTCCGGTCACAGAAAATATGTAAAAGTTCTGCTGGCCAAAGGAGACCTCTTAATTGTCATAGAAAACTTGTAAAACCTTCTGGTCATGGAAGACCTCTAAAAGATCTTCTGGTCATAGAAAACCTGTAAAAGGTCTGCTGGCCACAGGAGACCTCTAAATTGTCATTTTGGCATAGAAGGTATTCAAAAGGCATTCTAGTCATAGAAGGCCCCTGAAAAGTCTTGTGGTCATAGCAGACCTCTGAAAGGTAGAATGCCTCTAAAAAGTCTCCTTATCATAGACATCTTTAAAAGGCCTTCTGGTCATAGAAGACCCCTAAAAAGTCTTGTGGTCATAGAAGAACTCTTGAAGGGTATTTTGGTCATAGAACGCCTCTAAAAAGTATCCTTATCATAGACATTGTTAAAAGGTCCTCTGATCATAGGATACCTCTAAAAGGTTTCCTGGTCATAAAAGACCTCTTAAAAGTCTTCTGGTCATAAGAGACCTCCGAGAGGTCTTCTGGCCATAGAAGGCCTCTAAAAGGTCATCTGGCCGTATAAGACTTCTCAAAGGTCTTCTGGCTATAGAAAACCTCTAAAATGTCATCCCGACAGAATCCCGACAGAAGAATTTTCTGAAGTAGTAACCTGCATTTTTTTGAAACCTCAAACTCTCAAACTTGAATATCGTGGAATTATCGGTGATTTTTAAGGACATTCTTAAGCCTTAATCTGAGATATTTTGACACTATTTGAAACATCTCCAAAAATGGAATGCTGACTAGTAATTGTCTACATGTTTAGTCATGGCCTCTTACAGTGGATTTATTAAGGCATTTCTGAAGCTATAACCTCCTGACCGGTAACCTCTGATTGTGGGCAGTTGTAAGCCTCTATGAAAGTGCAATCCTGATACATAATCCAAGACTGATGCTCATTTGAAGCACGAACTTTTGCTTCTTTCAGTGGACTGTTTTGATGCAGTTCTAGCCATTTTTCGTGGGGTTATTAAGGCCTCCCTGATGACTTATCCTGACCTGTAATTACGAACTTGTCAAACTGTATTCCTACGATATATATTCGTGGGCTGCTTGAGGCTTATCTGAAGCTATAGTCTTGAAATTCAATAGTGGACATTTAGAGGTCACTCTCAAATTATATGCCTGACATCTGATGGAGGATTTTTGGGTTTTTGGAGATTTGCTACATTTCGGAGCTGTCTGAAGCTGTAGAAAATATAAAATTTGAAACTGTAACCAAAACGATGATAAAATAAGAAAACAGCATCTAATTCTCCTCAAATTTCACACATCCCATCATTTATACTAACACAAAATCTTCTGTGAAGATGGATGGACCCTCCCTCACAAAGGGTCAAAAAGTTGAATATCCGTGAAGCTAAAAAAATGGGAAATTAACTTTCAATTCAATTTAGACTTGTTACAGCTCAATATTACCATCAATACAGGAATTGTTATAAGGATGGGAGGGATCGGACCATTTCTTCTGGCACCCCACAAACGGTTGGAGAATTTAAAAAACAAAGCCCTCAAAGAAATCGAACTTTGCATCCAACTCTCTTCAAATTTCACACAGACAAAAATTTTTGCTAAAACATGATCTGGTGTGCAGATGATATATATCTGCGAACCCCTTTCTGGTACCTCACCCACGAAGCGTCACAATATTCAATATTTTAATTCAAAATTTTTAAAAAGTATCACATATCTCACATTAAGTGAAGGAAGTACCCAATATAGTCCAAACCACGGCACGTCGCAATATTTAAATCATATTTATGTAGGTCCAATACGAAAGGGCCCACTCCTTCGGAACCTACTCGACAGAGGTTCAACAATTTAAATAATCATAACAGAAGTCAAAATATATTTAAATAATCGAACAATGGCTAAGGGTATATTTATAGTTTTGTTCTTTTTACAAGTTTGAGCTCTCATACCTTTCCTCTGTTGCAGTGGTGACCGCCCACATTCTCTCCCTCTCTTTAGTCATCCATGGTTCATCAAGCGAATTATTTCCCAATTAAAAAATATTCTAATCAAATTTGCCAAATTTATAATTCGCTCTATTGCCTTTTTGTGACAATTTTTTCCCACAACACCTCGACGGATAAAAAAAAAATCGCCAACAACTTAAAACCCCGTCACTTGACAGCACACAAAATTCTCGGAATTTCATTCTTCCCTTCTTTTTTTTTCATTGTTTCTATCTTTACGGCCAGTCGGATACATGGAAAATAAATGTTCATTAACATAAACAACAGCAACAACATCCACAACAAACAAAAAAAAAGGGCAACCAAAAGGTAGTCCATCTTGGCCATCAATGTTCAGTCATGTGACTGGTGGCTGGCGACGACTGCTGGTGAGTGGTAACCAATACCAACGCCAACTTTGCCATCATTTAGCACCAGGAGCACAAAAAAATCAAGCGACCAACCCATGAACGTGACAACAAAAATAACAGCAGCCGCAACAACGACAACAGCAACAGTACCTTCCAGTCGTCGTCACTCATCAAGCCAAGCCCCCTTTACTCTACAACAATAAATTTTAGTGGACTCGCAAAACTATTTGCTGTTATTGGCGGTGGTGTTGGCGTTGATGGTGATGTGAAGACTTCAAACAACAACAACAAGAAAAACAAAAAAAAAACCCAACAACTAAATGGGGGGCTGGGCTGTATGGTGTTGGCCAAGAAGAAGGAAAAAGTACCCACCACAGTACTGACATGGCCAGCTAACTGGCTCGCTGACTAACCCAACTGACTGACTGACGTACGTACCGTATGGCATGATAGTCTTGCTTAGTTGTTGTTTTTGTTTAGTTTGTTGCAATGTTATTGCTTGTGCTGTTATTAT